ACCTGGGCTTTGTTCTGAATGTACTTTGTTGTAGTTATCCTACAGAGAAAAGAAAATGCACTTGACTTGGAATTAATGTACTGTATGCATTCAAAAGTGCTGAATAAATGTTTTATGGACCCATAATAGTGATTATTATTTAAGTTAAGTTTTGCCATAATCATGTCTTTTTCCATAATCAGGTAGCTGAACAACATTGGTAAAAAATGTATACATATATATATATATATATATATATATATATATATATATTCTTATACCCTATAAATCAATATCTATATTGGGTATTTAAGAATGCTACGTTTCCACAGGATATTAATCTTTTTTTGATCATTTCAACTCAATGTACCACATAACCTATGCACAACACATATAGTGAACCAAAAGACAACAATAAAATAATTGATTATGATAGTCATTGAATATCAAACAACAAAGCAGTAAAAATGAGCTGACAACAAAAGGTTATTTTAACGGCTTTGTTTCTTATTTGCTGCAGTGGTTAAACTATACAGTGGTTACTACTATACATATGCGTGGCTTTATATTTGCACTTTCACCACATTTTCATCCTGTTCACTAGATCCAGCAATTTCTAAAAACATACAGAAATGCTAATGCAGCCATTAGACCTACGGCCACTTTCATCTATTAAGCATGAGCATATAGTTGCATATAAGAGGATTAACAAGATGTACAGATCCTGCCTCTAGCTCATGTAGAGAGAGAAGACAGAGAAAAACACACTTTCACTAAAGATGACAGCCTGAATGAATAGCATTCTTCCAGTCAAACATGTTTCACCCAGACAAAGTAATGATACTATTAAGATTGATAGAAAATGACTTGATGAAAAGAGCAACAAGAGTTTTGAGACAAACATATCAGTATTTCAAATAAATGCAAGGTAACACTGACCTGTGCTTCATCTTGAATCACACGGTACTGTTCCTTCCACACAGTGATTTTAGAAACCTCATCTTTCCTGAGAGCTCGCTCCTTTTTTAATTCTGGGCTCCAGAAGGTCTTTATAGAATTCATAGAGGAGCTAAGCTTGCTCTCCTTAACTTCCACTTCTCGCCGCAGCATCTCATTCTCACGCAGTATCTGAAAAAGCAGGATAAAGGAAAAGCAGATACAAATTGTAAATGTGGTCTGTCAAACAGAGCAAATCAATATTATCAAATGCACAAATCATTGATTGAAAAAATCTGCAAACCCACTTCTTTCAGTTGGGCCTGCAGGTCCAGTATGGTGTTATCTCTAGCCTGCCTTAGAGAGTGGGGCACGGTAGAGGCCATGTGGTGGTCCCCAAAAGCTAGAGCATCCCCTGCCATCATGCCTGATGGCAGCAGAACACCGCCAGGCACTGAGGTGGAGATGTTGGGGGTGCTAGCGGCCACAACTCCACTGTTGCTGCTCCTTGACCCATATGTCACCCTCTGTCTCCCCATGGTCGTCATTGTCCCACCACTTTTTGGAATGTGATCACTTGCCAAGGCAACCTCATTGTCACTCAGGTACATTGGTCCTGAGGTTGCATACGCAGCGTTGAGGGACTGGATGTTCTCCATGGAAAGTGTCTTCCCTCCTGCCCCTCCAGGACCCCCTCCACTGCCCCCGGTGCTGTTGGTGCGACGGTGTCCCATCCGAGGGGAACGGGGAAGGCGAGGGGAACGGCCAGATCCCTGATTACCAGTACCACCTCCATCTCTTCCTCCACTATGGTTGGCGTCCCCTCTGCCAACAGAGCGGGCACTACCGTACATCTTCTGCTAAATAGAAGAATGGAGCTCACAGAGAAATGGAAATTTGACCTCCAGTGACTGTATTTATTCTTGCCAATTGTGTGGGGCTTTAACCAGTTGTCTGAATCGAAGTGGTGATTCTGCTTCAGCTGGAGGCGGTGGGCACAATATTCATCCTAAAATAGAGGTCTGAAGCTCTTTACTCATCCATCAGGAGCTGTCCAGTGTTTTAGATTCTGACACCAATCTGTGAAGAAAAAACAGTTGTTTCCTATGAATTACATGGCAATAGCATACAAGCATTTGTTTTCAATTAATAAGACAAAAATGTCTGTTAAATTGACAAAGTTATCAAAGTCCCAACAAAACCAGCCAGCCTCAAATTCTTGGCCCCTTAATCAAACAAGCCTGGGTTCGATTAGCAGGTATTATTAAAGGGGTCTCTACAATCTCCAGCACAATGTGGAATAGAACAAATTCAGCAAATTGAGAGTAAGTACAGATGGCCACTGTGTGCTTAGGTTTCACTAGATCCCCTCCTGGAGTACAGACAGTTATGTAACTGTTTACAGTCATGTCTAAGAACAAGTTATTTCAGGTGTCTTTGCTAATCAACCTATTCTATACATTACATGACATGATGTGGGACGGTTTGGGAGCCTCTGATTTTAGGTGTATCCTTAACAAAGTGTACGTTTAATGACGTTATAGCTATTGGTAAGTCATAACCCTTGTGTCAGCCTTGTTGGACTATTCAATCAATTGAATGCTAGAAGATAACACAACAACACATAAAGCAGGATTGTGTACGAAAATGTCTCCGACTACTCGGTTTCATATTTTAAAGTGAATTGCTACAGACATTTAACTGGGTAGTCTGCGTGGCCTTGCTAGCAGCTAGCGACACGTTAACATACCGGCTAACAGGAGAGGCTGACATCGGTACCGTTAACTCCTATGTATCCCTTTAATTGTGTTCCTTTGTTTAGTAAGAGCAAATAGGTGCGTATATGTTGTCGGAAGAGTAAATCTTGAAGCTACGAATCATGTTTCCAATGTGCTGACGCTGTGGATTAAAACAAGCTAGGGAGGGAAAAGGGGATTGTCCATGGTGGACATAGTAAGGGAAAAATCTTCCTGCTCATAAAACTAAATGCAAACGTAAACAAATTGTCTGCCAAATACAAAGCTAGAAACCTGACGTGATAAGTTCATTAGATACGGTGTCAAATTGTGAACATTAATCATGAATTAAGGACATATTGCACAATCCTAACGACACCGTACAGGGTCTGCTTTGGAGACACCCACATCAAACCATATCCATTTTGCTCCACATCTACTCAGCGGCTTCGTGTTTCTCCATTCAGAACTGCGAATAACTTATCTCTCTCCTTGATATTTAATCAGCTAGGAAACATCAATTGAATGTACGTTTTACACTAGCTCGTCATGACATATGAAGGCTAGTCCATCTAATCTATATGGTCAACCAGAACCTCTGTTTTTTTTCTCGCTAACACAATAGCCAGCGGTGAAAACCTCTACAAACAAACTACCTTTCTCGTTGTCCGGTGTGGTGGAGCTCAAATCAGCGCCAATAGTGAATCCTCTGACAATCGGAAATCGGTTGCAAGCCCTGTCATTATATGTTAATTATTCGATAGATGTCTATCTGATTTTCACATCGTTTTGCCAGCAGTACTAGCGGCTCAGGAGAGCCAGGGCGCCTCAGTGACGTCAAGACTCCTGTGCGCGTTCACGACAGACTTTCTCGCCACGCTTAGATTTTAAACGCGCGGTCACGAGGTTTATGGTGGATGAATAGTAACAGAACGCAGACCTACCAACATTTTGACAAATAAATGCTTTGTTTTAAATTCAACTGAAAAAAAGTAAGGATGTGGACATCGAAACATCTATTGGTCAAATCTAGAGTGCTTTAAACAATCGTTTATTATTTAGGCAACGATTAATTTGGAATGCTGTTAAGCACAATTTAGAATATGTCTTATCAACAATTAAATAATAAATAGAGAGGGGTATTATACTGTCTACAGCAGTTAGTTTTGCATTTTCTGTGAAAAAATATAAAATGGACATTACATGTATAGTCAACAAACACCGGCAGAGGGCAATGCTCACTTGTCAGAAAATTGTATTTTCGAAATGGGTGCTAGAAATGTAAAAATCTTCACTACATAAAATACATTAATGAAAATACATAATATGAATCAAAACATAAAGGCAGATTGGAATAAGAAAAATTGATTAATTGTTTATATTTATGTATTATCACATAGCATTTAATTACATGTGTTGTATATTAGATGAAGTTCACAAGGGTATTTTGTCTTCAAAAAGGGTCAGGGTTAGAAAAAACAAGAACAAAAAAATAAGTAAGCGTATTTACATTCAATACAATGTGAAATTGTGAATATTAAAAACATACTTGTTATTTCTGTATATGATTTTCATAGCATTTAGAAAAAAGGATAGCAGATATTACTTATTGGTTTTAACCTTCATTGCATTTGACTGTAATACATCATCATAAGGTATTCGGAAACATAATGTATATCATGAAGGATGAAGGTGCTTCAAAGGGATATCTGCGTGTATGTATGTTATGGTTATGAGGTCATTCTCCACTGGCGCAGGCGCTTTCGGAAAAACCCGTTTCTTCTCAATATGTAGCAACTGCGCCGCTTGTATGTAAGAGAGCCTCACAAATCGTAACTTTGATATTCACTAACTGGGTAATTGATCTACCTGACACTTAAGGAAATTTGACTTGTATGTCCCTGTACATATACAAAGACGGATTAACGCTGTGAAGACCATTTCAACGCCGATGACCGTCAGTTGTGTTGTGGATACGATACTGAGGTAGGTCGCTGTCTGCCACCCGGCACCGCTCTGTTAGCTGTATCGTTAAGGGCCAATGCTAACTGTTAGCAAAGCCAGACCCCCAACGAACAGCAAATAGCACTATGTATTGCAAACGAATTTAACGTGATATACATATGGTGTGCTCCTCTTCTACGAATAGTTACAATGACCCAGTCAGGGAGAGTATCATTTTAAAGTGCGTAGTCTAATGACAACAAACGAAGCATTAGCGTTTGTAGCTTCATATGCTAACATGAAATTGCATGGGGGCAGTCAGGAGGTGCGTCTGGCTTTTTAGGCCATCAGCAAGGCCACTCTAGCTAACGTTAGCTGACTGGCTAGCAGTGGCGCTATTTGTCAATGCAGGCTGTTCAATTTCCAACCGGCGTCTTATGTATACGAAATGTTAGTTTGTAATGTTAACCACTCAGGAATGGAAACCGGCCCTGGATATGGTAAATACATCAATATAGAGTAAACGCTATTATTAATTGCTAACGGTTACGTCAATGGCAACATCGGCTATGTGAAATGACTCTAGTGGCAGGCCAAATTGCTAACAGCGGGGCGTTAAATATTTTTAAAACAATTGACGTGAAAATAATTAATGCTTGGTTAAAGTTTCGCTGGTTAAAGATTAGCTTAAGACAGCTAACTAGCTCTATGCTAGCTATGCTTATTAGCAAGCTAACAAAGAGCCGTTGCTCCTCCTTGCTTTGTATGCTCGATGTTGCCATTTCAAGTGGATTGGTGTCACTTATAAGACGGCGAAGAGATGGGTACGTAAGACGAGGCTTACGTAAATTAATTTACCCATTTAATTAAGTGTTAACGTCATTTTTAACAGGTATCAGGATGTTAATGCTGCTAACATTACTAGGGTTGGTTCTGACACCAGGTGCTGGTAATGGCCTCAACCAAGGCAGGTTATAGATGACTAATAAGCAATTGGATTGCCAATGCACACCTGCATCTTGAAAGGACCATTATTGACGCATTACAAAATAGTCATGCTACATGCGCAAGTCTTTAGCATTTGCAGTTTAGATGATGGTATGTTTATATCGTTATGCTGATTTAAATTACTGCTTCACGTTAACGACTTTAACGATGCACTTAATATAAGTTATTCCGACAATATTCAATGACCCCGTGAGTAGCGGTACTTTCTCTTTTAGTAGGCCTACTGGAGAGGGGTTGTCAACTCTTTAATATGTACAACATTGAGACTTTAGTGTGTCATTCTAAAGGGCTGTTGGATGCATTTGGGATTCGTGCCACATTAAATACTTATACGTGCTTCTTTAAATTGTATACTCAATACAAAACGTAATGGCTTACTAAATAAATTAGTGCATTTATATAACAATTGGGCACAGCTGTAAAATACATTGACATTGCCCCTGTGAATGCAGGCATGTTCCTATGTCCTTGGGCAAGGCAGCAAATCTTATCCAAGGCGGAAAACCTATAGACAAATATATCTATGAATCAAAAGCAATTCACTAAATGATTCTTTGCATTGAACTTTGTAGTGTCTGTCAGCTGTTCTTTTGATGAAAGCAGTGTTATTAAACTTTATGTTTACAGTCAATTCTACTTGTGAATACAGTTGCTTGTCTTTTACAGGTCATGTTGTCATTTGACATAATGTTGGTTACTTTGTGAAATATTTCAGGCAACATTTTGTTTTCTTTTTTTCTCTTGCAGTGATACTGAACTGGAACGTATTCCGAGGGTTTGATCTTCCGTCCTTTGGCTACAGTAGGAAGTTTGGGGCCTGTTGTGGGCTGTGCATGTTTGTTCCTCACCAGTGATTCCTTATGCTTGATAGAAGCTGCACCCTTACAGGATGGATGGTGTGGACTTAAAGAGACTTGTGTATCAACATCAGCACTCTGTGTTCTTCTGTGGTGTTCAATCTTTTACCATTTACAAGAGGACACCTCCCATCCTATACCCCCAATCTCTGCACTATATTTATAAAGACCGTCAATAAAAAAAGACAGCTGAAGGTAGAAGTTGTAAGACTTTCTATCTTTTTTCTTTTTAAAGCTCAGACCGATATTGCTTATATAGGCCTATATGGCGGAAATGGAAGTATCCTTATTTTAATTATTCAGTTAGTGTACCCCCTTACTTATAGTGTGGGTGGTGGGATGTCGGGAAAGCTAGACGACAAAATGGTGAAGTTCCTGGTTCCCCCTCAGAAGAGTGGAAATGGCCCCAGTTCTGGTTCAGATTCGATGGTGAGTGAGGGCCGGCCAACAGAAGTGAGACGCCGGCATCACACCATGGAGCGTGATCGTTGTAACCCCGAACATCGTTTTCTGCGCCGAAGTGTCATCAGTGATTCCAATGCTACGGCATTAGCTCTCCCTTTACCTAGCAAGATCCCCATCCCTGCACCTCAACGGGTTCAGCTACGAGAAATCCCCCCACAGCGGCAACTGGCGGCTGTTGCTGCTCATTTACTGCGTGCTGAACCAAGTCCAGCTCAAAATGAGGAGACTGCTGTTAGTGGAAGAGAAGGAGTACAAGAAAAAGAAATAACCAAGGTAGATGTAGTTCCTTTGGAGCAGGAGCCTGTCATTGTACAAGATACCTGTGATGGAGAGGTGGTGGTAGCAGCCCGCTCCGCACCATGCTTAGGATCAGAATTGCCCAGACAAATAGAACCTGAAAGCACCAGTGAGGTGAAGGTACCACCTGAAGAAGAAGGGGAGGAAGAAGACAAGGAAACTGCCAAGGCACGAGCAGAGGCAGAGCAGAGAGAAGCTGAGAAGAAAGTGCAGGATGACATTGAAGAGGCAGAGACCAAAGCAGTGGGAACATCACCAGATGGACGCTTCTTAAAGTTTGATATAGAAATTGGACGGGGCTCCTTCAAGACTGTCTACAAGGGCTTGGACACTGAGACCACGGTGGAGGTTGCTTGGTGTGAACTGCAGGTAAGACATTGTATAACTTTTGTTGCTAATATTATTAATATAGTAGTTATAATAATAATCATAATCATTTATTGTGTTAATAATTTTTACTTCATACCCTTATGGCTACTGATTTCAGTTGCTCTCATTTGTGAATGTTTTTTGATTTGGTCACTTTTAGTATTGCATTTCTACTGCAATGGTTATCGTCTCCTTTTTATTCATGCTGTTAACATTCATCAAGCTTAAGCATAAGTGGCGTAGAGCCAAAACAATTTCCTTTCACACTGTTACCTGAGCTACAGCTTCTGTCATTTCCGCTGTCAGACACATGGCTAGCATTTCCTTTTTGATTGTTTCGCATCGCTTTTGTCATCAAAGGATAACTAAACTACTTCTCACTTTCCCAAATGTACTTTTTGGTGCAGCGCCGTCCATATTTAATGACATGATTGTGCTTATTATGATATAACTTCTTATGTTAAAAAGTTACAAAACTTATCAGGGCTTGTAACATTTATGTTTTTAACACTATGACCAAGTGATACATAACACTTTTATCACAGGAAATTGCTAGATTCAATGTTAGACTTTGTCTCATGGCACTAGAAGTGTTTAGAGTTTATTAAGTCATCATAACAATTTCCCATTAACAGATTTTAAAATGGCAGAGGATATTAACACAATAATTATGATGACATTAAAGTCTTCCAGAGCTGCAGAATAACCATAACAGAAGGGTAAAAGTTAACTAAGCATATTATTGTCAGAATAAGGTGAGATTTAAATATCAGTGTTAAGTAAAATATCTGATCATCAGACATCAAAAATGTAAAAAGTCAAACAAGTAACGATGACATTTAGTGTTTAACATTTCCAATTTCCAGTACTTAATGTCGAACAGTAGAAATAATTGACTTAAATTGTTATTTTTTAAACATGGAATTATTGTTATCTTATCTTTAAAATATATCTGTGGTACTATATACTTTAGTTAATCATCAAACTTGTTTCGTTATTGATAATGGATAATATCTTTAAATACACATTTTTTCATCATTAGCTTTTTCATCTCTCTGATCAATAGTTTGTGATTTTCTTAAAATTGCGTGGGGGGAAAATGTAGCCCTTGTGTCTGTCCAGTTAGATCGGCGACATGGCCCATAGCAAAGTTTGACCTCATTCACCATGTGCATGTTTGCTTTTGCTGTCACGCTTTCACCCTTTCATGAGACGCATAGGCCTTACACGGCAGAACATTCAGCCATAGCTACACAGGCACACTGGTTTCAGAACAATGTGAATATTACAGACGCACGACCCTCCCCCCTCACACAGACCAAAATGACACGCATGCTCAGTGCATTCCTGCTCTGAATGCTTGTGAATGTTAATGTTAAGTGGGTCACATTCCTGAAAGAGGAATCTCCTGTGTGAAGTGCAGCAGGCCGGCCTGCCAAGGCTTGCTCCTAGAGTGTCCGTCCACCCCCGCCCTTTTAACTTCCTCACACTTTCCGGTGTTTCAGATTTATAACCCCTTTTAAAGCAAAACTCAGTAACTATACCTATTAACCTCCATTAGTTATTATTATACTTTATGTTGAAACATTTAAACATATTTTTGGTCAACTTATTTTACAGTATCATCTTTTTGTCATTTTTTATGTCATTTTCCAACAAGAAGGCCTATGAACACTTTTTGAAACTTCTATAGTTGCTATTTCAGTATACATTTGACTTTGATGGCAAGCGAGTACATCGTTATATTTGAGGTAGATTTTAGAATGGATGTTGGACCTTATTGCATTTGATTTCTTTATTATTAAGTCGTTATCTAATGATATGAATGTCATAAGCGCTAGATTGCTAAAGATGTTTAGGTTTTTCTGTTGATAAAGCTGTGGATCGGTAAATTGACTCAACCTTGCGGGACTAATTGTTATGTTAGGGGAAAGAAGAATAGACTTCGCCCCCTTGACGTCCTGGGAAATTGAAATGATCTCCCCTCTAATATGTGTGGTTTGTATGAAAAATATTTACCTTTTTATATATATTTTTTCCTCTTTGGAGGCTTACCTACATTTTGTGCGGGACTTAGCAGTGTCCGAAACCACTTTTATCGGGGGACTTATCCAATGCAAAGAGGTGATTTGTGGGAAATAACTTTGTTTTATGCTCATAGAGGTCAATCCTAGTGCTGCTCAATTAATCGTATTTTAATCGCGATTACGATTATGGTTTGCAACGATTACGAAAACAACGTAATCAAAATAAAACGATTTTCTTTTTATTATTATTATTACTTTTTTTAATGTTTTTTTTTTTTTGAAATACAATACTTTTTTTTGGTTTTTCAGTTGAATTATACTTAAAGTTCAGGGTAATCAATTGTTAAAAACATACTGTTCAAATAGTTTTCTCTCCAATAAATGGATGTTTTCAAAGTCAATGAATAATCGCATTTAATAATCGCAATTACAATTATTGACCCAAATAATCGAGATTATGATTTTTGCCATAATCGAGCAGCCCTAGTCAATCCTGAAAGATGAAACTATAACCTGTTTCTCCGTAACGTTCATCTGTCAACTCAAGACTTTCGAGGCTAGAAACAGTTGAGCTGCACGTGAGGATCCCCTCTCACATGGTTGTTAAAGCGGTCCCATGATCACTAAGTGTTACTGTTGCATTCCAGATTCAGCTCGAGGCAATATTGAGTAAGGTGATATTAAAATACATGTTTTTTTCATAGAGTTTCAGTTTAGCTATATACTGATGTTGCCTTTACAAACATGCATATAATTAGAGCCATTTTCATTTACGAACTTTTGAAAGAAATATAAATATATAGCTATTTTCTACTCTTCTAGATTGGTGCGTGAACAATGCAATCATCACATTATAAGATTCCACTGTTTAAGAAAGAAGTAAGGGCTAATATGGTTTATTTACTTATATATTTCGTGTTGATGCCAGAATCAGGGAGGCAGAAAGTAATCAGCATTACCCATAGGCCTTACATCTATTTGTCCACTGGGAATTCAGACCCCATTTACACGGGAACGTTTGCGTTTACGCACCTTATGCGTTTTAAAAAAAAGTCTTCCGTTCACACGCATTTGATTCATTTAACGTGTCCGTTCACACGAAACCGCTGGAAACGCTGTAGTACATATGCCGGGCCTGTAAGTGGCGTTGCTGCCGCCACAAAATACACCAAAAGCAGCGAAGAAGACCCCGGAGCATGGTTGCCATGGTTGCCCTTCTGTTTATTCTCCGCGGTGGGCGGCGTGTTCTCCTGCTGTATATCTCTCAGGTAGTCCACCAGCAGATGAAAAACACCCACCTCTCTGCCTCTTCCAAGGGACGAGGGAACCGGGCGGCAAAGTTTCCATTAAAAAAAAATGTCCGCCGGTCAACATGTTCGTTAAAGTTGAAATCTTCCGTACAAAATTAGAAAAGTGCCAGTCAGAGGTCTTATTTGTTATTCATTGAGCTTTAAAACAAATTTATAACGACTCTGTATAATAATATAAGAATAATAAACGGAGCCTCTCTTTTCCTCCCCCTCTTCTGACAGCCCAGCAGCTAATCTCTGAGCAGGAGACGTGGGGAGAGGGAGGCGGGGCTATTTCATCGTTATCAGAAAATGATCGTATAGAGGCGTACAGACGGATCCATTTTACCCCCCATTGTTCCGTTTGCAGATCTATCCACCTTGGGACCCGTTATCGTTTGCGGGGTCCGTTTCTATCGTTTTGTCACGTCCTAGTGTAAACGAAAGGGCTATACGCAAGAGAAACTGCGGAAACAACCCGTTTTGTCCTTGTGTAAACGGGGTCTCAGTGTCAGCTGGAAGCAACAGCCGCACCTTTGCTTCTATGCTAATGGACCAAGTCTAAGAGGTTTTCCTTCATAGGACACTCTAACTTCATTGTCATCCCTAGTTTTACAGTTTTTCATTTTAATTAATTAATTAGTTTTCAGGAACCATGGGGGCCTACAAAATAAATATGCCACGATTCTCGATACCCACATTGCTGTAAAAAGATCTTGAAACAACTATTTATTCAAGCTATCACCAAAAACAACAGTATGCAAATAATAGAATATAGCTTGATGCATCCTTATGAAACTCAATGCAACCATGCAATTGTTAAATACACTGTTATCTTAGTTATTTACCAAAAAGCACTGCGGTGCCACCAGCTGTGAAAAGCCAAAGTTCACTAGCTCTCCTCCTGCAAAATTCAACATGGACTGTGGTTTAAAAAGTTGTTCCAGTTGTTTACTCTCTATTCTCAATATATAACCATAAGTGGAAATGAGGTACCAAATGTCATCAGTGTCACAAGAGCTTCAGTAGTAAAACAATATTTAACCATAAAAGTGTTGGACTGATTTACCAATGAACCCACTTTGCCTTCCCTAAAGCTATGCCTCAATCATAGCTTAAAGCTCTACTGTGTAAAGTTTGAATAAAATGGCCCTGGCCTATTCAGTCTTGAAGGCCATCTGTCCACAATTGTCTTAGGCGTCAACCCTTCTCAACCACCCATGAACCCACACAGTTTTTTCAAATCTCACGTTGCAGGCATGTTTGAACAAAAAGTAGGTCACCACAGAGAGGAAGTCGAGGGAAAAAAGGAATTCATTTAAGAGCCTCCCCTTTCTTGCTCACTCATCCATTTTCAACCATGTCATCTTCCACTGGCTGCCTCCCAACCTCCCTCCCCCCCAATACTGGCTAAAGCCAAATGCAGAATGATATGGTAAAAATGCAGGCATCCTTTAGAAGCTATGGGAGGGGACGGATGGCATCCGCTAAGAGTGACACGCTTTACAGATGTCATTTAAAATAGTGACTCTTTTTGTGATAACGCAACATGGTTAGAAATCTAAAGTTTACCATAAACTATGGAATATTAATTGTTTATTTATAGAAACACATTTGAGAAATCTAATGTTCTATACATATTTGATTACAATCCACATATTCATGATCTATACATGAACTAGTGTGCATTTTTGCCAGACAAACAGTCTGAAGCATCTTGCTTGAAAAAAGTATGCATTTATTGCAGCGTCTGTTTACCACAAATCACCAAAATCACACATAGCCTTTGTTTTTATTTGAAATGGATAACTTGTTTTATTTTCTGCCAGTCAAATCAGATGAGGAGTCATACTGGCAGATTGTGAAATGGCCTGGATGCATCATCTGCTGACAGTTTGACTGACACTCACGGTGATCTCTGATCTTATTGTATTGTGTGTGTGTCATGGGAACACTGGGAACCTCTGTCCACAGTCATACTGCGCATTATGTGATAAGTAACTCACATTTAGGGTGGGACTGTTTAACATAGCTTCATGGCTTTCAGGGCCATCAGCCTTAACCATGATTTCAGCTGATGTTACCCAAAGAGCTTCATGTAGCCCTCAGCATAAACCTCAAAGCTGACTTCAGAGCAGAGACCTGACAGAGCCAACCCGTGGCATGATCACAGGCTTTTTTTCACAGTCTATTTTAGGATTGCTGGGTTATTTATGAAGGCCTTTGCCTGGAAGCAGTATGTTCTGCTGTGCATTGGTTGTACTGTAGTTATCTGGCATTGGATGTGTTTCACGTTAGCTGGATATGTGCAGGTTGTTCAGAAATAGGGTTGGCAATTATGATTGTTTAATTATGTTTTAAGTCTGATAAATCTTCCATCTTCCACTGTAATGCAAAAACACTAAACAAAAGGTCAAACAAAAAAGGAAGTTATTTCTTTTGTTTGTTGTTATTCAAATGTACTCAGAATTGTTTATTAAGAGAATGTTTATATCTTCACAAAACACCATATTGCACTATGGCCCTTCCCTAGGTGTTATTCTGTGCCATATAGTTGGACCTTAACTCGGGAAGGGCAATACATCAAAGTTGACTTATTGCTGAACTGAATTTAGATAAGTGTTCTGCTGACTCTGCATAGATGGTTGAAAACAAAGTGTTGACTAGTTGGATTAAGAAGATTTTTCTTTTTCAGATTTTAAGTGTTTGAAAAGCAATTCTGCATCATTTTCACACTCATGTTACTTTTGTGACTGTGTATTTACACACACATTTGCGCTATGATATAGTTTCTATTCCCTCTTCCTCGGGCTTTTCAAAGACGCCACAAGGGCAGTATTTCACAGCTGTGAGTTATGATATTCAGGCAGTGGTGGTAACACAGCTATTTAGTGAGCTGACTCATGCCCACTCTGTGATTCAACTGCAGCTGCTAGTGTCCTCTGAGTGCCGGCCAGGTTAGGTTTCCTAATATATAGACATTTAAAGCCTCTCCCTCGAAATGGTATGTAGAATATGAGGACACTGTCCACTGTTGGAAAATATGGATAACAAATCTGTGAAAGCACCTTAAAGGTTTTAAAGTAATTCTTTAAGGCCAATTGTTGGGTTTTCTGCTGATTGTCAGACTCCTGTCAGTCAGGAAAACGTAGCCCAAACATTATTATGCCCTTTGCTTTATTGGACATCTGATATGCAATGCATCAAAGTTCTCTTGCCGAACAAAAACAAAAGCTGCAATCTAACTGTAACAGTCCAACAAGACACACATACTTATCTTACATTTCAGTATCTGTGGTTCTACCAAAAGTAATTTTAAAGTAAAAAAAAGCCTGGTGGATATTTGGCTTTTCAGAACAGGTTTGTGGATGTACCTAAGTCTACCGTGCACAGTCAGTGACATTAAAAGCAGGACATGGTACTGGCCAAAGAACTCTATCAAGTGACAATCAAGGATTGTGATGTGTTTCTTATGATAGCAAGATCATAAATTCCTGGAGAGTTTTTACAGGCCCTCGGTCATGCATACTTGCATGTTGTAAGAGAGCTTTGTAACTAGTTTGTCCTGCATTATGCTAAATAATGAATGGAAAAATGTTAGATAGGCAGTGTGAATGAAACATCTGTTTTTATTCTATTTGCAGAAGCTAAATTAGATGTCAGTTAAGCATGACAATGTGTTGTCCCTCACCAGCTCTTTCCTGGCATTAGTCCGTTTCGGTGTCCTCCCGCTGCTCCTAAGAGTTAACCCTTTCTTATTGTTTCTGCTCTATATTGCCACGAGACATTGAAAATAATCAACCTCAAATCTCCAAAATACCTTCAACAGACGCTGCTTCAGTTCTATCTTTTGCTGACACACAAAGTCTAATCCTCACTGCCCACTCACATACAGTACGGGCTGATTTCCTGGACAGCCTGGCTTATGGCCAGATCCCTGAGGGTTTAGAAGGAGGTCTTTGGTTTCACTAGGCCTGTATAACTGGCCTGGGCTTGCTGCTCTATAGTCATGCATGCTGTTAGTGTAGGCCATGCCAGGAATTACTAATGCAAGTTGAGAAGGGTGGTTGTACACATTCCAGAAAGTTTTGTTAATATGCAGAGCCTTTCAAACACTGATTATTGCCCACCTTATCTATGCATAGGTCAGTTTATGGTATGATCAATTCTGTTGGGCAACAACACTATCAGCGTTGCATATTTTATGCCATGATTCATTGACAAACCCGCCAGCTGCCAGACATTTGTTGACTCATCATGTATAGCTTTGTTTATAATACAGGCTGTGAGCGCACCATTAGCCTCATACTAGATAGTGATACAGTTGGTATCTAAAGTGCTGGGCCTTATATCAATGAAAAGATTAATTGTAGTCATTCGTACTTAATAATGAATAATGAAATAACAGTCAGACCAAGCCAGAAATGACCTCACAATCATTCATCAGTTTACTTGTATTATAATGCTGTGATGAATATTTCCTGTAAAAATTCAAGCTGGTGGGTTTCCACATCTTACCACAATAACGCAATTTTAATGTGTAGGGTGATTTTCTTCTGATTAGAATTATTCTTTATTTGTCATGTATTATACCAAGTAACCTATGCAAACCTGCTTCCGATTGATGTAAACCAATTGAGATGAGTTTAGCTTGTGTTGAACAGTAAAACCATTTTTAATGAGCAGAGTTTTGGTTCAACAGGCCTGGTTTATTGTTTCGGATTATGACCTGTACTGTTTTAACCTTCTCTCGTTCTCAGTCATGCTGTAGCTCTTTTTATCATTTTGGTTATCTTGGTGTTCAGGACAAAGCTAGACACAATTAATTTGGTTCAACGTAGTCTGCTAGAGAAACAGGACCACTTCCCTACACCCCCAACTATAGGATTTTCTACTTCTGCAGTTTTGTGGGTGTAGAAGGAAATCTTAATGGCACCACCTTTTTAGGTTAGATTTGTAAAGGCCTTTTATTTACTTTGAGGCCTATAGATTTCCTGTTAGATGTTCAAACCTGAAACATCAAGTTGATCTAGATTTGAAAATGATTTCTCATGAACAAGCTCATTCTGATGCTACCTTAGTTAGAACAGAAATATTGTATTGTATTGATAGTCTTCATCGTGCCATGACATTTGCACATAAATGTTTTTGTCATTAATGCATTTGTTAAAAAAGTGACATCAGTCAGACATCAGTAAATAATGTCTTTATCTTATAGCTATTATCTTTGTCTCCTGCAGGATCGCAAGCTTTCAAAGACGGAGAGGCAGCGCTTTAAGGAGGAAGCGGGGATGTTGAAGGGACTACAGCATCCCAACATTGTCCGTTTTTACGACTCCTGGGAGGGACCCTCGAAAGGCAGGAAGTGCATTGTACTGGTCACTGAACTCATGACTTCTGGCACACTCAAAACGTGAGTCTCAGAGTACCTGGAGCCAGCAAACACATTAATACAGACCTCGTATATACATTAAACATGAGTGCTTTTCCATTTCGATACAAATGATCATCCTAACTATTATAAATATTCTGACCATTTGTCTAATATGTTAGAAAACCAAATATTTTACAGTAATCTATTATCGTTTTATAAGATGTCAATCAATATCTAATGTAGTGCTTTTTTGAAAGAATGTTACAGAAAATACTACATTTGCTAGCTTTATAAGTTCTGTTCTCCTCAGAGGATTTATGAAAGTTATGATCTATTCCCTTGTAGATATCTGAAGCGGTTCAAGGTGATGAAAATTAAAGTGCTGCGGAGCTGGTGTAGACAAATCCTCAAGGGCCTCCACTTCCTTCATACTCGGGCTCCCCCCATCATCCACAGGGACCTCAAGTGCGACAATATTTTCATCACAGGCCCAACAGGATCCGTCAAGATTGGAGACTTGGGACTGGCCACTCTAAAGCGCGCATCATTTGCTAAGAGTGTTATAGGTACGAATACAAAGTAATTTCTTTACTCTGGTACCTGTCCTGTTGTGGGACTTTTCTAAGTTGATATAATGTTTGTATTGAAAATGATGTTTAAAATGGGTATTTCCCCGTGTCGTGTTTTCCTGACGATGTGGTTCAAAAACAGACCACAAGGTTTCAGCTGCCTCTCAAACCACAGCTCAAATGGAGGCCAAACTCAAAAGGCTTTCTCTCTTGAAACCCAAACAGTGACTATCAAGTTTGGTCATGTACAGAATATATTTGTTCTATGTTTCTCCAAAAAAAGAGAGTTTTTTTTCCAGGCACCTACTGAATGTAACCTGGCCAAGGCTAAAGGTATGGCCTTTGCTTCTGTCTTAGACTGGTCTTTGTTCTGTGGTTTGGAAAGATGTGGTCTGTTTGCCAGTTATACCTTATAATGTTTAACTTCTCTTTCTATGGCTTTGCCTCAACAGGTTTTTTTTCTAGTGTTTGTCCCTTACTGTCTTTTAAAATTATTGCAGGGCAGCATAATCTTTTTGATCCTTCTTTGTGTCCAGGGAACTCTCCCTACTTTCTGTCTATATATTTTTTATTTTATTTTTATTTCACATTCTTGGGTATGTTCTTAAAATGTAGGCTCTAGCCTCAGCTGTGCCCCATTCTGCTGTTTGGAATAGGGTACTGCTGGTCATTGAGTAAGTATGAACTTTTGTGGGCTGGTAAGTGTGACAGTGTGCTGTAACACACATCAATATCAAAACTATTACATTTAAATAAACCGTTTTTCTGTGTAAGACCTGATTTAAATGTAAAAGGATCTATTAATAAAACAAGGCCAATGTGCAAAGACACACTGCTGAGCACCGTAACTAGCTATGGGATTTGCTTCTCTCAGCCTTCACCATAACAGTTTCCTCCTGCAGGTGAGGAAGACACGGTAAGTCACACTTCGAAAGGTGAGTGTAATATAAAAGGAACATGTGGTTGTAAGGTAAGGTCTTGACAAAAGTTATTTCCACAGCTAGTCATATTTCTCTCACAGAGATCATTGGCATTCTATTGAATAAATTACACAGTATTTTGTCCTAGGTATTGTTCTTTTGGACATTGCAAACAACATTAATTTGGGCTAACTAGTGTGTTCCGCACATTGGCGACCTCAGTCACATTCTTACATCCCAACATGTTATGGTCTTACACAGACAAACACGTGCTTTCTTCTCTGCAGTCTAACTGAGCCCAGCCTCTCCCTCCTTTTTTGTTTTCTTTCTCTTTTTTGCTTTCCTCCCCCTTTTTATTTTATTTTTTCTCTCTTCCAACTTTCATCTCACAGGTTCTACTCCATGAGATATCAACAGGATGGTCACTCCTCTCATCCTGCTCTTCCTCAACCCCTCACGGGTTAGGGGAGCAGAGTGGCAATGGGTTGTGAGAAGCCCACTCAATCAGTAAGGAAGTTCGAGAGTTCTGAATAGTTGTTTTGATTTAAGGTACCCCTGAGTTCATGGCGCCTGAGATGTATGAGGAGAAGTACGACGAGTCAGTGGATGTGTATGCCTTTGGAATGTGCATGCTGGAGATGGCCACCTCAGAGTACCCTTACTCAGAGTGCCAGAACGCAGCACAGATCTACCGCAGAGTTACCAGCGTAAGTCTTCTTTTCAACCTTCCATGTCAACCCTCTGCCCTGCCCTCACCTCTCCCTTTGTGCCGAGAAGGCTAATGTCCCATTTGGAATGATTTTAAATGACCACAGACGCCTCTTTATCAAGCTTACATTACGTTTATATCCTCTACAATTGTTTTTCATTCCTTAAATTCAGTTTGTTCTTGTATATGATAGTTTATTTCTTTCTTTGTCCTTTTTACTGAATCATGGTGTATGCTGGTTAAGCACGTAGACTGAGACGTAGATGATTAAAGGCTGAACCAGCAGAATTCCTGCTAACAGTTAATGGTTCAGTCTTGTTATGATGACAGAGGGGCAGCAAATCTCAAAACAAACATGCTTTTTGGTCTTATTCATACACTTCATACTGACTTAGTCACTGACAAGTCACTAATATGATTCATACTCAATAACTAGTGCCTCACCGATTTAAAAAAAACTTTAACCTGTTCCAAGTTAGTGTACAAAATGCTCCTTGAAATCCATACCTATACCTTAACTGAAAGTATACTGAAGTGATTGCCTCATGAACCTACAAAGGAGCCTTTTTTATTTTCCCCACTGAAAACGATTGAGTTCTTCCGCTCTTTTGGTGACCCATAAATTGCTCGTATTGCAGAGCATCCAACACGGTTGACTCAGATGAGAAAAACAAAGAGCTATTGTGGTGTTGAGCCTACACTTGGGTAGTGTCACATGCTCTAGCTTTACAGTAGTATTCCTTGGGGACATGAGCTCCTGTTTTTCCTGTTTTGATATTAAGCTCATCTGTTCAGCCAGTCCTCCATTTTCCTGTAGCACCATGTAGTTTCCTGTTGCTATTGGTTCAATACATCACCTCTCATTGACTGTCCTTTTATGAGTTATGCCATCCTTTCCCCACACAATCTGAATGTAGTTAATACCATCCTATAGAAAGCATGCCATCCTTAACACATTATTTGACATTAGTTTTTTTAAAAGCAACCCCTTCCACTTCATTCAATGGCCTTTTGACATTCATTTATAAGTTATACGTTTTATAAGAAAAGAAGGTTTCTAATTCCCAGTCCTCTGAGAGATGAGAGCCTCTGAGCTGTAAAGGAGATAAAGGTCATAAGAAAAAGATCATATGAGAAGAAGAACCATTCTCATTCAGGGTTCTGTGCTTCCTATAGGGGGTGAAGCCAGGCAGCTTCGACAAGGTGGCCATTCCTGAAGTGAAGGAGATCATCGAGGGATGCATTCGCCAGAACAAGGACGAGAGGTCTGTATCTTCAGAGCATGTAACAGGAAGTCTAGCTCTCCAGGAAAACATATCTTTGCTCACGGTTTGTCTCCCTCTATTAAGGTATTCAATCAAGGACCTCCTGAACCATGCCTTCTTCCAGGAGGACACGGGGGTGCGTGTGGAATTGGCAGAAGAAGATGATGGAGAGATGGAGCTTATAAAGCTGTGGCTAAGAATTGAGGATGTAAAGAAACTCAAGGGGAAGTACAAAGATAACGAGGCCATTGAGTTTTCTTTCGACCTCCTCAAAGACGTCCCAGAGGATGTGGCTCAGGAAATGGTGAATTTAACTTTGAAAAAGTTTAATCAGTCTTTTAAAAATGGGGTTTTAATATAATTTGTTTAAATGTTTAATGCCTAATTGTATGTCATGTCTTTGATGTAGGTTGAGTCTGGTTATGTGTGCGAAGGTGACCACAAGACCATTGCGAAGGCCATAAAGGACAGGTCGTCTCTAATCAGTCGCAAGAGAGCACAGCGGCAGCAGGTGTGTAAATGCTCACTATATAGTGCATTTAAAATGTTAATTATGTATATTTGATCCTGTTTATATGTTGTCAATTGGGGTTCTCTTAAGGCGTTTTAAAACATTTGCCACTGAATGTCTTGCAGGTCAGAGAAAATCAGGAGAAGAGAAGGATAGAGGAAGAGCAGCAGGGTCAGTTACCCCCTGCTCAGCCACCAGCCCAACTGCCAACAGAGGTGCCTCAGTCCCAGCCCGTGCCCCAGCCCGCTCCCTATGTCTCTCCACAACCAAACCCACAGATGGCCCCCCAACCTGCATCTCAGCAGAGCCTTCAGAGCTCCAACTATATCACTCCTCAATCCACCCAACTGGCCGGCATGGCGCAGGGTGTCCCTTTCATCCCCCAGTCAACGGGACAAGTCCCAGTTCATGTTCAGAGTGTGACCTCCATCCAGCCGGAGTCAGAGGAGCCTGAGGCGGACCAACACCATCAACTACAGCACACTGGAGGAGGTGAGTCTCAAAGACGATCAGATAACCCTGAAGCCACAATGATAAAACGTTTTCATTTTTAAAGGTTAGTGAATATTTTCATAAATGAACCTTCTTGTCCACCTCTCACAGCCGTTCACATGGGAGACAGACTGTCCGGTTCCACCGTCCCCCCTGAGATCCAGCCCCCTCAGTCTGGAATATCCTACAGCAGCCCTCCCAGTCAGCATCTTCAGCCCCAGGTGTCACACCAACAGACACAAAATGACCAAACGCTTCAGCAGCCATTGTCAGTGGTGAGTCTAGCTAAGGAAAAAAACCAGACATCATGTTTGTCTGTTGAAGAGAATTAGATAATGTGCCTCTCAGAATGAAGTATACATTCTAATCCTGTGTCTAACCTAATGGGCTCTTTATGTTTATACTTTTCAGCTTACATTTTCCCCTCCAGCTACACGTTTTTCGTCTTGGATTTAGCTTATTTATCTTTACCACGTTGTTTTCTCTGTGTGACTTCAGGTTCAAACCCAGATGCCAGTGGTCCACCCTGAAGTTGTTCCTGTGGTTCCCGGCAGCCAGTCGGTTGCCGTGGCTCCTCAGCAGGTAAATGTTGAACTGCATGTCTTTAAAGTGGAACTTCACGCCAACAAGCTTTGTTTTAATGACCCCTGGCTAAAAGTTTCAAATCTGTTGCAACTAACAACAAACATATTGTACATGTCAGGCTGTACTGAACGCTCCCTGAGTACACTTGTATATCACTGCAGCCGGTGCACTTCAACCTCTCAAGGTCAGCAAAGCACTTCAGAGGCTGTTTAGACCTTTTTAAAGCTTATATTCTCTGTTTTCTTTAATTGAAAGCAGGTCTGTTCTGAATCCCCGGTTTTTCAGACTCATGTTTTTTTTCCCCCCGTAGTTTTCTTTTTATTCTCCAGTTTTCCACTCTTACCCTGTGTTATGTTTTGTTTCTTATAGTACGGAGTTTACTACCAACCATCGCTTCCCCCTCAGGTAGATGAAATGTTCCATGTCTCTGTTCCTTGGTAATACACCCAAAGCCTTTCTGAGGGAAATAAAAAAACATATTGTCTATATTTTCACAGGTGTTTGGTTAGTTTTGACTTACTTGTAGTAGGCATTTCCAAACAGAATGTATATTATCCAAACACAAATGTTATCTTAGCTAACGAAAAGGGGAACAGTCATGTACATGCTTCTAAAAACACGGGAGGGTTCTCAATGTTCACTGAGGAATATCTTGACAGGCCACACTGTAAAATAGATCAATGTTCTGCAGCTATGTTGACAAACAGGTAAGTGTGGGTTTGGAATAGAGCCAAAGAGTCAACCTCTGTAAAAGGTTCAGGTTTAGTAACCAAGATTTCTACAATGAAAGTAGGTCAGCTTTTATCACAACATCAGGACACTTTGATTTTATTCTTGTTTCTGACTTCTTTTCCCTTTTACTTTTAATAGATTCCGACCCAACAAGTGGTGATACCCCCATCTTCTCAGACACCCTCACCCCAACAGCAGCAGCAGCCAGAAAGCAGCGCTACTCTCCTGAGCTCCACTCTACCACAGGCTGGAGCTCAGCAGCTACAGGTGACACACACCTCCCATGCTCAAGCTAAGCATTTATCAAACCCTGACATATCGCTTTATGTTTGCATTTTTTCTAAATCTTTTTTTTTCTTTTCTCTGGACACTCAACTCTCATTACCATGGTTGTCCCCTTGTTTCTTCCCCTCTGCATGCTGCTCATTCCTGCATGACTTTTAGTCTTGGGCCAATGATCCAAGTCCTATCCTGTCACCTCCACTCAACGCAGAGCACCTTTACTTCCTCTATCAGGCCTCTTGCCTCTCTGTTCTGCAGGTACTCAGAGCAAAACAACAGAAGTTGTGTGGGTGGGTGTATGTGGGTCAGGTGTGAAGTATTTGGTTCCTGTTCTGTAAAATGTGTACATTTATCCTTCAAAAGACTACATAGAATTTAATTATAGAGAAAAAAAACACATAATCCTTGTCACTTTTATTATAGAGAACCAACATATGATTAACTTTTTTCAACCCACATCTACAAGACCCCAGACCACAATTTCTACTCAAAAGTGAAAAACATGGAATAGTGTTGGGAATTCGCCAAAACATTTTCACATCATTCTGTTCTAAAAACAGCTCAAAGGTTGTTTTTGAAGCTATAAATCCTCCAAGAAATCAGTAACCCCAGTAGATGTGTCTGCCTGTAATAAATATTAGACATTGTATCACAGAAAGCGCAGTATTTGAATGACCTACAGGGCTGGAGTAGTAATTAATAGAACAGCAGTACCTTGTTTAAATGTTATTAATATCCATATAAGCACAGCAGAGAAAAGTTGCCACATTCTGAAGGAAATGAAAACTCCATTACACAGCAATATTTACACAGTGCCTGAGAGCTGAATAATGGCGTCACTTGTTGTACCCAGACACGTTTCATCCGGTTCAACTGCTCCACCTCGTGGATGGTCTGGTTTCCATAATCCCCTTCATGTGGATAGTTTATCACCATAAATAACCAAAATAACAATGGAATGAATTTCAATTATTTAAAAATGATCATGGGTTTATGGTCCTAAAAATAGAGTAATGCACAAGCAATGGGACTTGTGTGGATATTTGCTTTTGACATGAAGTGTTTGATTAATAACAGTCTTCTGTGTTTCAGGCCCCTGTGAGTGTTGCTCAGCCAGCCCCAGTGGAGCCAGGGTCCTCTGCTCTGGTGCCTCCATCTGTAGAAAGGTGAGGAGAATGTTATTGTCAAAGGTTTCCCCAGCACCGCACATTGTGTCTGTTCTCTCTCTAACAGATCCATTTCTCCTTCAGTTGCCTTTCGGATGCAGCTTCAGGTCTTAGTGACGGCAATGAGGGAGGCTCTACATCAGGAGGCCGCCATGAGGGCCGCTCACTGAAGCGTCACCAGCGGCGATCAGTACGCAGCCGCTCCCGCCATGAGAAGACTGGGAAGGCCAAGCTCAATGTTCTCAGTGTATGTATCTGAACTGATGAGTTCATTTAAATCCTGTCTTATGGTCTTTGTCATTCAAACTGTTTTTAACCTGGACAAATGTTTTGCAGATCTCAAATGTGGGAGACAGAGTAGCTGAGTGCCAGCTGGAAACACACAACAGAAAGATGGTGACCTTTAAATTCGACCTTGATGGTGATAACCCGGAGGAGATTGCACAGATCATGGTAGACAAAACATTTTAACTTTCAGATTGTGTTTGTTACAATAAATATATTATCTAAAATTGTAAAACCCATTAGATAGAGTATGCCTTGAATTTGTAACTGAGAAAGAAAATCCACTCTGAACAGAAAGCTAGTGAAAAAGGACACATACAACTAATGTTAAATATTTACTACATCAACTAACACATTTTACACACATTTTTGAAATGTTCTCTCCGTATATGTAGTTTTGGTGATTTTATTTGAACTTCTTTTGCTTTTTGTTTCAGGTTGAGAGTGAATTTATTTTGGAGAATGAGCGGGAGTCCTTCATTGAGCAGGTCCGTGAAGTCATAGAAATGGCCGATGAGAAAGGAGAGGGCATGAAGGACGGCTTCCCTCAGGTATTTCTTTACTTCACATCACCTTGTTAGCCAAATATACATTTTGAGGAATTTAAAATGTAATCCTGCTGAACCTGACAATTGAAATGTATGCTTTTATCTCTTTGCAGATGATTGATCTCCAAAAACAGCCAGAGCTGTCTATCCCTATGCTGCCAGGTAAACTCCATTGAGCCAGAAATACTGTCATTATTTCTTTTAATGAAGTCCAACTCCTGTCTTACAATCTTCCTCTCTTTAAATTCCTCTCAGGCATTTCCCCCATGACTACAGCGCAGGTGGTGCATTCGGCAGGTCGGAGGTTCATAGTCAGCCCAGTGCCCGAGTCTCGTCTTAGAGAACAGTTTTTTGGCGGTACTTCGTTTAATAACTCCTTTGGAGATGAACCAGGTGAGAGAAAGCTCATTCTCTGTAGAATCAACTGTAAAATGTTTGAAACTGCATGAAAATACTGATTAAAAGTTTTTAAAAAAAAGGCGCTGTTAGTGTTATACCCTAACTGAAAACAAAACCTTGGCAGATACATGTTTTTGAAAAATATGAATATACTTGACATTTCTTTTCTAGCTCCCTCTCTGCCACTGGGCCTGTCTCTGTCCGCTCCTTCTGGGACTTTGCAGCAGGCTTTCAGTATAATGAAGCAGGCTCGTCTGGAGAGAGGCAGCACCCTGGATCCCTCTGAGCAGGAAGCAGGCCCTGTCCCGGCCCCTGAGGCAGGACCCGGCCCCCACTCTAACACTAGCCTCGCTCCTTCAGAGGCTGTAGCTCTGCCTCTGAAATCCACTGCAACATCCTCACCATCCCCCCCAACTGGGAGGGTTTCCCCTCCACCTGCAGTCACTCAGTCCCAAAGCCCCACCCCCGTCACCACTGATCCCAGTCCCCCTGCTCAGTCAGCCCATGAAGCAGCCCCCCCACAGCTTCCATCAGCTGCCAATATCCCCCCCACAGCATCCAGCGTCTCCCCTTCATCAGTGCAGACCTCCGTCCCTGCAGGCCCCGGGCCCCCGCCTATCGCCAGTGTTTCATCCAGTAGTCCTGTCTCTGTCCCTGCTTCAGAGCAGCAGCCTTTTAACGGCACTGCATCGTCCTCCCAGCCTGTGAATTCGTCCATCCCTGCATCACAGTGTCAGCCCGTCCCCGTTTCTGCTCAGCCCACTCCCCCCACCCCGGTGCCTGGTCCAGCTCAGCCCGGGGAGCCAGAGGGAGCTGATCTCCAGAACAAAACGGCTGGCAGAGATGATATCCAGGCGCTGGATAAAAAGCTCCGGTCCCTCTTCAAAGATCAGAGCTCTGCGTCAGTGGATCAGAACACCGGCACCTCTTCTCCTCCCACTGGGACTGCTTCCCCTCCCCCCGGCGCCGCCCTGGTGCCCCCTTCAAACCTCCCCCTCTCCTCTGGAGGGCAGAGTGTCCTGGGCCTGACCACCACCTCGGGACAGGGTATTACTCCAGCAGGACAGACACCTCTAACTAAGTCAAGGGCACATGTAAGTAAAAACTGCAGCATACAAGAATGTATCTAAAATGCTGCTTATTGCAACAACAACAACAACAACAACAACAAACAGTTTGACTCATTTCCTTTTTTGTTTTATTTGAAAGACTTTACCTACTGGTTTTGACCAAGCTGCTACACCTCCATCTGAACTTGTACCTCCATTTCCTGGACCAAATCAGGTAAAGTTACATTTGTTTCATTTACACTACCTGTTCTACTCTCAGGCTTTTGTAGTGTAGATGTGCATATGCAATACTTAGAGGGTCCCTTATACCCCGTTTGTTTGTCTCCACAGTCTCAGAAACCCCTGGGTAATTTAGAAGCCCAGTTAAGGAGAGCTCTGAGCCCGGAGACCGTTCAGGGAGGCAGCAGAGCGCAGTCTCCAGCAGCAGCTTTCACTCTGGGGCGCTTCCAGGTACGTTTCAGTCACGGCTTTAAAAGTATCTGGTCAGTTCAGTTTAAAACAGATAAACCTTGTGCTCGGTATACTCAAATGTTTCCCTCTCCTCTTCTCCAGGTGTCTGTTGCTACTGGTGGTTCGTCCAGCATTGTTTCCTCTTCTTCCCTCACGCCGTCCTCTACCTCTTCCTCTTCTTCTTCCTCTTCTTCTTCCTCTTCCTCCCCCTCTAGTCCAGAAAATACCCTCCACCGGTCATCCGCTCTGTCCAGAGGGGTTTGTGAAATTGACTCTGGAAATCGAGCCTCTCCTCTCTCCGCTGACTCTGCCAGTCAGCCCACTACCATTGGCCGCTTCCAGGTGTCGACAAGCACCAACGCCACGACTGGGACAACCACTGGCTCCAAAGTGGGACGTTTTTCAGTCTCAGGTACATACCAGGTTCAAATTCAGCTAGCTTTGATACAGGGTAGCCAACACGGTGCCCGCGCGTGTTCTAAAGATAGCACTAGTCCCAATGCCCCCGGACCCCCTTAGAGCAGGGGTTCCCAACCTTTTTCCCCGAGAGCCCCCCCAAATTACTCCTGTTGGAAGTTGCGCCCCCCCTCCCCACACACACAAGGGACAGACAAGCCAACAGTGGTAATTAAAGTTTCAAAGTCTCAAAATGCTACAACTACTGTCACAAACTGGATGAATGTGAAGTATTTTGTTAAAGGAGGATGAAAGCGTAATTAAGGAGCACTATTGGAGTGACTTGATGGTTATTGGACTCAGGATTCATTCATTTGGATTCACGCTGTATGAAGAAATTAAAGGACGGCACAAGTGGAAACAATTCACAAAGGGATTAAACTGTTTAAAACACGTGCTCAAAGTAAGCCGGGTTTTGCCGATGTGTTTCTGTGGATTCAAAAGTCGTAAATAATCTACAAAATGGAAGAGACCGATCTGATCGGAGCAACTGTGACAAATAATCTGAAACCGGCATGGACAATGACTGTTTTAAAAATGTGCTTATCCAGACAAGCCTGGTTTGGACACCTTATGCCCAGAAGAAACATTTCTATTAAATTATTATTATTTATTATAGAAAAAATTATGCATTTCTGTCTTTTTATGCCTTTATTAGCTACTAACTTGAATTTGTATTCAAATTAATCAATTATATTGTGTACTTTATTGTCATGTAGAGACAAGGCTTTTAGCGACGATCATGTATTGTGTTACAATTATATGTTCAAATAAAAAAAGATTTAGGCCTCAAATCATCTGAGGCCTGGCGCCCCCCCCAGGTTGGGAACCACTGCCCTAGAGGATGTGAGGTCCACCCCCAAATAAAGCAGGTTAAAATAATTAGATTGCATACATTTTCTTTTAGTAAACACTGAAACGGGTCCCACA